TTTTTCTCTTTCAAATAAATCATCAAAATAAATTTTGATTAAAATATAATTAAATAAATCGTCAAAATAAATTTTGGATTATATTTTTCTCTTTCAAATAAATTAAAACATAATTAAATAAATCATCAAAATAAATAAATCTAACAATTATGATTGAAGGACTGACATATGTGCCCGTGGATCCATATGATTGCTATGTTTTAACGAACATGCTACTACTATGTGGCGTTAATATTCAAATTGACATTATTTCTAACCTCTTTACACATTGTTCACTAGACTTTGGTTCACAGTTTATATCTGTCATGTAAATGATCAAGCTCAAGAAAGGACTTGAAGGCGTCAACCTATCTTCTAATTGTCAAGCCAACCATTTTGGGTCTAACTCCAGGCTTTTTAGGTGGTGATAAATTCACCATTTTGTTAAGTGATCACATATGTATGTTACGTAAGGGAATAATTCCCTAAGTATTGTAAATGCTTTTGATACATGTATATGATAAGGTAATGGATGATTGTACAGTAATGCAACAGAGTTGTTTGCTCACTTTAGTTTCACAGTTCATTGGGCAATGTTTTATGATATTATTGGCTTCCGCTGGCCCCTTATACTATTGGCTGTTAAGTAGGCCTTTGGTAATCTTAAATTACTGGCCGATCACGTTGCTAATCTCGTAGGGCGGGGGTTAGGTCGTGATAAGAAGAAGGGGTGAAAATATAATTTTATAAATGAAATAGGTTAAAATATATAAACTCATAAATTAAAAAAAATTGGATGTGCAAGGTGCACATCATATGTACTTGCATGAATTTTTACAAATATATATAAGTTATTTCACAAAATTGCATAAGTTCTTACAAATATACATAAATTTTTATTACTCAAATTTTTATAGATTAACTTACGTATGTTTGTAAAAACTTACATTGTTTTATGAGTTAACTTACGTGTGAAAATTTACGCAAATACATACACTTGCATACTAAAGAATTTCCCATAACTCAGATGAAATTATTCAGTGTGTTTAGTTTCAGTTTTTTGAATTCAATTTTCTGAAAAATAAGTTTTTTGTTTTTCGTGTTTTTTTGTTTTTAGTGAATATTTTTAAAATTTTAAGCAATTTTTTTATTTTTTATTTTTTAGATATACCTTATTTAGATGTATCTAAATAGTAAATTATTTATGAAAAAATATTTTAAAAAATTAATAAATACACAAAAATAAGAAAAATATACTGAATTTTCAAAAAAAAAAATTGTGTATTTTTGGTATTTAGTAAATTTTTTTAAAAAAAATTTCACAAATATTATACTTTCTAAGTATATTTATGTTAGATATATCTAAAAATTAAAAAAAATTACTTAAAATATTAAAAAAATTTAATAAAAAAAATATGAAAAACAAAAAATTAAATTTTTTTAAAAAAATAAGTGAAAATTTCATATTCTCATTATCATTTCATCTTCTTTTATATATATATATATATATATATATATAATTTATTATTATTTTATAACATTTTTTTCAAGAGAGAAGATATATAAAATTTAAAGGAAAATGGTTTTTTTTTTTCTTTCCAATTTCATTTCCTTTTCATTCTCTTTTACTTTAAAGTTCTAAATAAAGTGTTTTTTAACTTACAAATCTTGCATTTGCAATTTATGGAAATAACACATCTTCCTTCAATGTTAAGTTTCAAAGTAAAATCACCAAAATCTATGCAGTATGTTTGATTTCAGTTTTATAAATTTAATTTTTTAAAAATTGAATTTTTTGTTTTTCATTTTTTTTTTATTTTTAGTGAATATTTTTTAAATTTTAAGTAATTTTTTTATTTTTTTAGATGCACCTTACTTAGAGGTATCTAAATAGTAAAATATTTGTGAAATAATATTTTAAAAAATTAATAAATACACAAAAAATATGAAAAATGTACTAAAATTTTGTATTTTTTTATATTTTTTGGTATTTAGTGTATTTTTTAAAGATTTTTTTCACAAATATTATACTTTTTAAGTGTATTTATGTTAGGTGTGTCTAAAATTTTTTAAAAATTGCTCAAATATTAAAAAAAATCATTGAAAACATTAAGATACGGAAAATAAAAATATATAATTTTTTGAAAATTATTTTCTAAAAACTATAACCAAACAAGCTAATTGTAATTAAACCTTGAAAATGATTATTAAATCAAGAAGGGAATCTTCGTACTTCATTACATATATAAAAAAAAATAGAGAAATTATTAAATAAATATAAAACATAAAAATAAGGATAAATTACAAATATATCTTTTGAGATTTGATTAAAATACGAATTGCTTCATATGATTTTAGAAATTACATTTCATCCCCTGAAGTTTCTAATTTCATGACAAATCGCTCATTTTATTAATAAATCATCAAGTCAATTAACAATTTTTAATGATGTTAGAAATATGTTTCAATTAATAATTTAGGTAATTTTATTATCATATAAGAGAGTAATTATGAATTTCATTTTTAGTTAATTTTGTTAAATAAAAAATTTTAATAAGGGGATATTTGTAATTTTTCAAATCATAAAAGGTAATTTATACTTTAAGCAAACCTCAAGAGGTGTAATTATAATTTATCCTAAAAATAATTGCAAATATAATTGAAAATGGAGTGATTATTTGGTAATCCAAAAGTACGCTCACGCTGTACTCCATATAGAATGATTAGTGAAGAAGGTAGGGTATTAATTATTTGTGTTAAGTGATTGAAGGATATGAATGGACATAATGAACGGTAATTAGTTAGGAATATGATCACATAGTACATTGAGAGTACTTAATAATTTTCTATTGATGTTAATTTTGCACAATTATCATTCATAATAAATACATAAATAATTATATAAGCACCAATTGGTATATTAATTAGTGTACTAATAGATGATATGACATAACTTTATAAGTTTTGAATATTTAGGCCAAGTTTAACATATTGCAAAAAAGTCAAAAAGTCAAAAAATTACTCAAAAAGTTAAAAAATTAACACTATTCACCAGAAGTCAACAATTACGGCTGCACAACTCCCAATCCTAATTTTTCCCTACAAATCAATTTTTACAATTTTTTATTACACATTTTTCCATAAAAAGTTAAAAAGTTAACCCAAACATTCATATTTTCTTCCTCAATTTTTTAGTCCAAAAAGACAAAAAGTGCACTTATTTAGAACACTCCAAACAACCCCTTATTATTTGTATAATGAGTAGGACCAGCAATAATGTCATAACATATATTGATATATTTGTTGATATACCAATTACATATCTCACTAGTATATTAATTAGGGTAAATTACATTTTTCACTTAAAATTTCACCAATTTCTCATTTTGGCCCTTTAAGCTTGATTTTTTTTGTCATTTTGGCCCTTTATGTTTATAATTCTTCTCACTTTAGTTATTCATGTTTGCAATCCTTTCTACTTTAACCCTTTAAGTTTGATTTTTTCTACTTTGGCCCGTCATGTTTGTAATCCTTCTTACTTTGGTCCTTTATGTTTGCAATATTTTTCACTTTACTCCTAGATTAACTTTTATCCAAAAAGTAACAAAATTTGTCACATCACTAACACATCAACTTCATATGTAATGCAAAAAATTCACTAAATATGCAAAAAATAAAAAACAAAAAATAAAAAAATAATTTTTTTTAGTCTTTAGTGAACTTTTTTTTTTTTCAAATTTATTCATAAACATTATTACATTATAGATGCATCTAGATTAGATGAAGCTAAAAAAATAAAATCAAATTTAACTAAAAAAAGAAAAAAGTTCACTAAAATCGAAAAAAAATGATAATAAATTTTTCATTTCAGAATTGACGATATAGGTATTTGAGTCAATATATTTTCATTTTTTTCGTCTTTAGTAAACTTTTTTCCTTTTTTAGTTAAATTTGTTTTTATTTTTTTAGTGAATCTAATCTAGATACATCTATAATGTAATAATGCTTATGAATAAATTTGAAAAAAAAAAAAAGTTTACTCAAGACTAAAAAAAATTCTAATTTTTTTTTTGTTTTTTATTTTTATTTTTTTGTATTTTTAGTGAATTTTTTAAATCACATATGGAGTTGATGTGTTAGTGATGTGATAAATTCTATTATTTTTTTTTATAAAAGTTAGTCTAAGTGTAAAGTAGGAAGAATTGTAAATATGAAAGACTAAAGTGGGAAAATCAAATTTAAAGTGTCAAAATGAAAAGAATTGTAAACATGAAGGCTTAAAGTGGAAACAGTTAAACTTAAAAGAACAAAGTAAAAATGGGTAAAATTTTATAAGGTAAAGTGTAATTTACCCATATTAATTAATGTTGCAAAATTACGAAATCACTTAAAAAATTAGTAAAAGACCTGTGTGGGAATTGATTATTTTAATTAAAAATTGTGTATTTTTTTTTAGATGGTGAAAAATTGTGTCCATTTTTGTATAATTCGGACACATATATCACTTGCAATTATTTTTTTCATTCTTAATTTATATTAGGGGTTGTTTAGAATGTCTTAAATAAGTGTATTTTTTGTCTTTTTAGACTAAAAAATTACGAAAAAAATATGGATATTTGAGTTAATTTTTTAACTTTTTGTGAAAAAATATGTATTAAAAAATTATATAAATTAGTATGTAAGGAAAAATTAAGATTGAAAGTTGTATAACTCGTAATTTTTGATTTTTGATAAATAGTAATAACTTTTTAATTTTTTAAATAACTTTTTGACTTTTTAACTTTTTTTCAACTTGTCAAACTTGAACTAGTTGACAAAACAAAAATAAAAACAAAACCAAATGGATTGTATATTTTATTCTCCCTCTCTCAAATAAATATCTATAAAAAACTTAATTAATTAATTAATGTACTTAAAAACCAGAATTCAATCATTCTTAATTTATATTAGTTGGCAAAACAAAAACAAATGGGTTGTATATTTAATTCTTCTCCCTCTCTCAAATAAATATCTATAAAAAAGTTATTAATTTATTAATGTACTTAAAAACCAGAATTCAAGGCCATGGTTTGCCCACAGCCACTTCAAAACCCAAGAAAATTCTCACTCTCTCTCCTCTCTCGCTCTCTTCTTCTTCCTCCTCCTCCTCCTCCTCCTCCTCCTCTCCAGTTGTTCCATTCTCTGCAACACTGCTATTCTCAAACCCAACAGCTATGGCTTCAATACCCAATCCAAACCCATCACCAGCTTACGTAGAAGCTATAGAAGAGATCATGAAAGCCTACAAATCACTCCTTCCCAGACCCACAATCGAAGAGGTCGAAGCCGCCACTTCCCTCCTCAAAACCGTCGAAACCGAACACCAATCTCGTCTCTCCGAGATCTCCCTCCACGTGGCCCCGCCGGAGGTCCCGCCGGAGCTCTTCTCGGTGCTCCAACAGGTGAGGAAAACCATGGCGTTGTTCCAAAGCCACGAGCAGAAGAAAGAGGCGACCCACTTGGTTGAACTGGACGAGATGTTTCAGACATTCGATGAGTTGATTCAGAGAGCTTCTGAGCTTGTTTTTGGGACTACCCAGATTGAGAAGAGTGTTGATTTGGGTGACCCAGTTGGTGAAATCGGACGAGCAGGTGTGATTGAGAAAAGGGTTTTTGGAGAATCGGTGATTGATGAGAGTTCTTCGATTATGGCGAAGACTGATGATGATTTTAAGTATTCGGTGCTGATGAGTTCTTCTTCCACTAAGGCAACTGATTTCACTTCAGGTTTGCTTGAATTTTATACTTATTTTGTGAATTGGTTGATTAATTATCTGAATAATGCATTGTTAGGAGTTTATATAACTTCGAATTGATCAGAATTTTCTTTGTTGTTGCTATTTATGAAAAGTCAAAAGCTTATCTAAAATTCTTTTTTGTATATATTTATACCAGAAGTTGAGCACACGCGTTGTCTGTGCAAAAGTACAGACGATTGTAAACGTCATCTAAGAAACATTTATGCAGATGGAGTAGGAGAAAATTGAAAAAAAAAAATTCAAAATTGAAAATCATAAACTTGGTTGGTTGGCTACAAAGGGGCAATTTGGGCATCAGAAAATGTGTCACATACCATATATATGTGTGTGTGTTTAATGTGAGAATGATGAACTTTTGTTACCTCTGTAATGTTGTTCAGTAGAAATTGAAGCTAAGATTAGAAAATTTTCACTAATTGATAAGAATGCAATTAAGTATGACATTGATTCAAGACATTGATTCAAGAGTTCCCGATCTACAATTGTTATCAGTAAGATTTGAACCTGGAAAGTATCAGAGTAAAATCAATCAATTACTTAACAACACAATCTTCATATTTTGTTTTTTGCTATGAAAATATTTTTCTTTACTTTTATGATTTCCAATTGTTCATGTTGCTTTAATATGTCTGTATGAATATACGGCACACTTTAATTGCAGTCTTCATTTACAAAGTATTAATTTGAGCTTTTGGAAAAAATAACTAACCTTTGGGTGCATTTATAGGCAGGGGAGTCAATGAGAAGTTGAGTCTGATGCAAGTAGCGGCGTTAATTGAAAAATCTGCTAAACGTGGAGCAGTGGTTCTTGATCTTCAAGGCAAGTTGATGGAGAAGATCGAGTGGCTTCCTGTATCACTCGGGAAGTTATTGAACGTTCATGAAATAAACGTTTCTGAAAACCGAATCATGGCTCTTCCATCCTCCATTGGCAACCTCACAGCCTTAACAAAGCTCGATGTTCACTCGAATCAGTTAATAAACCTTCCTGAATCGATTGGTGAACTAGTGAACCTAACCGACCTTGACCTTCATGCAAACCTGTTGAAATCATTGCCTCCTTCTTTTGGGAACTTGACCAAGCTTGCTAATCTTGATTTGAGTTCCAATCATTTTACTCATTTACCTGATGTGATTGGGGAGCTAACCTCATTAAAGAAACTGAATGCGGAAACAAATGATCTTGAAGATGTTCCTTACACAATTGGGTCATGCTTGTCGCTTGTTGAGCTGATATTGGATTTCAATCAACTAAAAGCTCTACCTGAGGCAATTGGAAAGCTTGAATGCTTGGAGGTTCTTACTTTACATTACAACAGAGTCAAGGGGTTGCCAACAACAATGGGTAATCTTTTGAATTTGAGGGAACTCGATGTTAGCTTCAATGAACTCGAGTCCATACCCGAAAGCCTTTGTTTTGCGGTAAATCTTGTGAAGTTGAATGTTGGGAAGAACTTTGCAGACCTGAGAGCCTTGCCAAGATCGATTGGAAACCTTGAGATGCTCGAAGAGTTAGATATAAGCGATGATCAGATAAGAGAACTACCTGATTCTTTTAAGTTCCTGTCAAAATTAAGAGTTTTTCGCGCTGATGAGACTCCCTTGGAAGTGCCACCAAGACACGTAACAGCCTTAGGGGCTCAGGTAATGTTTGCTTTGTCTTACTGAGTTGGAGTAAATTGCACATTTAGGTGTCTTTTATAATAGGAAGTGGGACGCTGAGCAGTGGCTGCTGTGCGGCAAAATGGGTCCATTCTGGGTGTTATTTTGATAATCTGAACCGTTTACATTTTAGAATACATCAAGTAGAATATGCTTGCAAAACATCAAGTTAATCGGATATCGTTGACCCATTCATTCACTCACATTTGTATCTACAAAAATAAATAATAATTGTGATTTAAAGTATTAAAATGAATACAAATGTGAGTAGATGAATAAGTAAATGATATCTGATTAACTTGATTTTTTGTAAGTATATTTTACTTGATGTATTCTAATATGCGAACGGTTTTTTAATAATATTGTTAGTTTCTTATTTAGTTCACCAAGAAACCGGAAACAAATGTTTTGGAAAAAATATATATATAATAATAATTGTTTGGTGAGTACTGGGCGGCTGGGGGGGGGGGGGGGGGTTGTTGGTGGTCGGAGGAGTGTCACCGGAGGTCATGGGCAGTGACCGTCCAATTGCTGGAGGCCAGCAGAGAGTCGCTGGAAGCTAGCCGGAGCTTATCGGTGACCGGCCGACAGGGGCTAGTGGCGACTTGGATGGGGACAGAGGAGAGAGTGAAAAGGTCTTTTTTCCATTTTCAAAAATTTTGGAATTAGTTCCATTTGTTTTAAAAGAAAAAACAATATATCAAACAATGTTTCATTTTCAACTTTAAAAAAAAAACACACACACAAAAGCAAAAACATTAGCAAGCAAGGCCTAACTTTATTAGGGTTTTGTAGATGGCTGATTTTGTCGCAAAGTAAGATGTTACGTTTCTACAGCCGAAGAAGAAGAAAAAAATAATATATCAATCAATTTTTCGTTTTCAGCTTAGAAAAAACACAAACAAAAACTAAAAATAGACAACAATGACATTAACGAACCAGGCCTAACTTATTCATTTGTCATTATTAGGCTGTTGTTCAGTACATGGCTGATTTTGCGACAAAGAAAGATGTTATGTTTCTACAGCTGAAGAAGAAGAAGAAGGGATTCTGGTCTCGGTTATGCCCATTTTTTTGTCATTGAGGCAATTAGTGTATGGGAATAATTTCTTTGTTAGCTCAAATTTTTACATTGATTGTTTATTGTACAGATCAGTCAGATTGTAAATGTTCCAACTCTGGTTGTGTTCGGATGAAATGATATGCATACCACCTATGCATACCACCGAGTCATACCATGTTTGCGTGTAATATTTCCTCTTATTTTGTAACAAAGTCAATTTTGATACTTTGAATGAAGGCTCATTGTTTTGAATTTTTTCCCTTTGTTTTTCTTATATATGAATTTACATTACTGTGTTTGTTTTAGCATCACGAGTTCATTATTTTTTTTGTTGGGTTAGCTGTCATTAATGGCGGAGTCAGGATTTCGGCTTAGGAGTGACAATATTGAGTTAAGATCATAGTGATTTATCACAATGCAAATAATTTTAATTTTTAATTGAGGGTAAAACATCTAAAAATGAACATAGTTTCATATTTAAAATTTTAAAATTATGTTCAAGTTAGTTTTTTTGCTTAATGTTTTTTATTTTTGATTGTTTATTTATTATTAATATGATTTGCTATTTTAGTTTTGTGAACATGATGATGATTATAATTTAAAATGCGGTCACATACTATTATTAAAAATGAGAATGACAAAATTACACCAAAATACATCCAAAGAAAAAAGGGTGGAAGAGAAAGACATAAGAGAAAAGAAAGAAATAATATAGAATTTAAAAGAAAATATTTTAGCAAAATTAAATATTTAGAGTGACAAATTACAAGAATTTCTATTTTATTTTTAATTAACGATCATGTTATAATGAAACTAATGAATTATACTCATAATGAAAATCAATACACCATATAACTAATATAAATAAATATTTTCAAAAATAAGAGAGAAGTAATAAATAAATAACATGGAAAATACAATTGAGAGGGAGATTAATGATATGGACTTTGTGCCAGACAGATTTGGGCCGGGCAGAGTTGTACCGGACAGATTTGGGCCGGACAGAGTTGTGCCGGACAGATTTGGGCCGGGCAAAGTTGTGCCGGACAGATTTGGACCGGACAGAGTTGTGTCGGACAGATTTGAACCGGGCAGAGTTGTGCCGGACAAACAAAAACAAAAATAAAAGATGAGATATAAAAAATTATGATATATTTTCAATTTTAAAAATTAATTATTTTTCAAATAAGGATAAAAAGTGTAATTTCTAAAAATTGAGAGACACACGTGACCTCCTGATCTTAACGGGTCTCCGCCCTTGGTTGTCATAGTTATGCATTTTGTTACAAGAAAGTCTAAAGAGATATATATATATATATATATATATGCATATTCTGCTACAGAGACTTTTATGTGATTTTGTATCTATTCTGTGACTTTTCTATTATATTTTTAGGATAGGAATGAGTGCAATTTGATCAAGAATCTAAGAGGATATTGACAAAAATATATAGAAAAAGGAATGATATTCTTTTGCCTAATTTTTTATTATAGCTTTGTCAATCCATCAACAGAGCATATGGTTAGAACAATTTGGACCCACAAACAAAAAGATATTTTTGATTAGTTTGATAAAAATATTTCTGAAAAAATAAAAATTAGTTTGATAAAAATAAACATCAAACAAGTATTTCTAAATTTTTAAAAATTATTTTAACCCTAAAAAAACAAGTAAAACTATATGAAATTGATGTGTATTGTTTATTTTTTATTTTTTTTACTAAGTTAGTTTTCAGTTTATTTATTTATTTATTTATTTAAATTTACAAAACGAATTTTGAAAATCAAACTAAACAAAAAGCCATTCCAACCATTCTCGTTCATCACTAATAAGTATAATGCATTTGTGCTTTACAAATCGTGGTTTTTCTTTTCTTTTTTTTTGTTGTAAACTCTCCTCTCTTTTTTTTTCTTCTCTTCTTGCTCTAATTCTTCTTGGCCATGTTTTTTTATTTTTATTTTTTAGTACTATCAATATGATTTCATTTTTTTTCTCATATCGTACTTAACGTAAGTTCACATGGCACATATATCTATATATATATATATATGTCTATGTGCATGTAATTTTCCACAAATGGCAGCCAAAAGAAGATATCCAATATTTTGATATGATGATCTGATTGATCAATTGACCCAATAATGAGTCAATTGTAAGAAAGTGTTTTGTACTTTGTATTCGAGGTGTTTTGTTTGGACACCTCTTTATAATATTCATTTAATAGTTTTTGTTTGGTTGTTTTTTGGGATAATGTTCTTCATACAATGTTACTAGATTCTGTTTAGTTGACAAAAAATAATATTATGATCTGGATTCTGGTCTGCTGGTGGCATCTTTTTTCATTGTTTTTGACAATTTTTATTTGTAAAAAAACCAATGGGTTGAAAAAAATTAATGAATAAAAAACATGTTTATCAGCATTTAACTGACCAGGCTGTAGTTCTAGAAGGGAGGCCATACCAGGAGGAATGTCTTTTTTTTTTTTTTTTAATCATGTGTGTGTGTTGTATTAATATTGTGAGATGAATCATGTTACTTAGACTTAATTTGTATTTCATTACTTAAAAATATTTAAGATCAGCTTATTAGTTTATTAGTTTATTTGAGTTATATTATCTTTTTATTTTTAAAAAAAAAAAAAAATTGGAGAGCTTTAAATAAGAATATTTTTATTTTCAACGGAATCCTTTGACAAATATTAAAGAGAATAATATTTTGGAGCCTTTAAAAAATTGGGACTTGAGACGAACTCACTAAAGAATGAGCCAACACTAGTTTTAGTTTTACTAAAAAAGATATCAATTTACTAAAAAAGATATTAATATAATTATGCTAAATTTGTAAAATTTATTATATTTTTTTCCCTTAAATCTCATGAATAATCAATATGATTCAACTATTTTATATTGATGTTTAAATTTCCAACCTTATGATATGATATATATTTATTGATGTGAGGCATTTATAGCACTTCCTCTTATAAATGAGTTTGAGGTAATATTATATATGTCTCATCATTTATCTCATAATTTCAATGTTATGATGTCTTCTTGTTTATTTTTAAAATTCAAAATGTAAGATGAAAAAAAAAAAAACGACAACAAAAACAACAATAAAAAACAACAACAACAATGGTTAGGTGGAACTTTTCATTCTTTGAAATTCAAAGAAAAGTTATTATCAAAAGTAACTAACAAAAATTAAATTAGTATTTTTTACTATTTTAAAAGAGTATTCCATCCCTTTCACCAATTATGACATTTCTTGAACGCCAGAACCACCAAATAACTTCTGGTTGTGACGATAGCATGGTCTTTTTCCAAATCTAATTGAATGCTTATTAACTTTTGGAACAATATTAAAGATATAAAAAATTCTATCAAATATTAATATGTGACCACCACTCATGTAAGGGAAATTTTTATCAAACACCAATATGAATCTTATAATAATTACTATTTTGGAGTACTACTTAATAATAGGAAAATGTTTGGGATCCCCTTTGGGGAGACTCCCACCACCCCCACAATGATGTGGACCAATGATGTGTTTGTATTGTTTTTTTTTTTTTCCTCTTTCTTACTTTGATTAATCACAAGTGAGCGGGGGGTTGTGAAATGAACATGCACAATGCAAGAGTATAACTTATGATTATGCAAAGAGGGCTGTAATGAAACATCTGAATGCAAATGTTATGCAAAGCAATAATACGACAAACTCGTACACAAGCAAGTAAGTAAACATGCCACGCGTGGGAATTACAGATTGAATTACATGTCATGCAGAAATGATGTAAGAAAATTATGCAATCTTCACTGCGCTTCACGCAGGGAAGGCCCAAAGTGATTGTAAGAAACACCCAAAGTCTCAAACAAGATCCCGACGCGTTGCACACGAAAGGAATAGGAGTGATACAAGCATTCCAAACGCTCTTAACCAAAGGAGGTCTAACCCGTCGCACGTGCGAGGAGAAAGAACAACAATGCCCAAGGCATACGAGATTAACGGTGATAGATACATAGAGTAAACATGTGTAATAGATACACAAAGCGAACATGTGATAGATACACAAAGCGAGCGTGTGTGATATATACACAAAATGAGCATGTGTGATAGATACACAAAGTGAGCAAAGTGT